GCGAAAAACGAAGTTAATATATAACAAACCAATTTATTTAGGGTTTTGCATTTTAGATATTTCAAAAACATTAATGTATGATTTTCATTATAACTATATGATTAAAAAGTTTAGTAAAATCAAATTATTGTATACAGATACGGATAATTTAATATATCATATATTTACAAATGATTTTTACACTGATATAAAACCTGACCTTTCATCATACTTTGATACCTCAGATTATGATACAAATAATATTTTTGAATATCCAAAATTAAATAAAAAGAAATTAGGTTTTTTTAAAGATGAAAATAATGGTAAAATCATGAAAGAATTTGTGGGTTTACGATCCAAAATGTACGCTTTTAACTTAGAGAATAAGACTATAGCCAAGGCAAAAGGGGTAAATAAATGTATCACTAAAAAGATGACAATGAATAGTTATAAGTCTTCTCTATTTAATAAAAAAGTGCAATATTATAGCATGCTTAGATTTAAATCAATTAAACACACAATTTTCACACAAAAATTAAATAAGATAGGTTTATCATATAATGACACAAAGAGACATATTTTAGATAATAATATTGAAACATTAGCTTGGGGTCATTATAAACTGCGTTAAGTGTTGATAGTTTTTACTTTTATGTCTGCGTTTAAGAAAAATTTATATTGATTGTAAAATTATGATAATACTATAATATGACGTAGTTTATTACATATTTAAACATTGTTTTATTGTAAATAATTTAAGTTAATTGTTGTTTCTATTTATTTGAGGTTGAGTTAATTGTAAAATTATGATGTACTAATTGTGTTAGAAATAGTATACAGATAATTCTGTTTTATATAATTTTTGGAATATATATTAATTGTTTACACCAACACTTTCATTTTTTATTTCACCCCTTTGAACTTTAGACGTGTGTTATGTTTCACTTTATCCATCCGTTCACTGCTATTGTGGCAGGACCAAGTGGGTGTGGGAAGTCAAATTTTGTAACAAATTTCATAAAATCAGTTACAGAAATATGTGATTGTGATTTTAATCAGATCACATGGTGCTTTGATGAAATGCAACCATTATATAATTTACCAAATGTTAACTATCATCAAGGATTTCCAAATCTTAATATGTTTGATGGTGAAAACCCACATCTTGTTATTATTGATGATCTAATGAGAGAGTCCGATGGAAGAATTGTGGATATATTTACAAAAGGTAGTCATCACAGGAATCTTAGTGTATTTTATCTAACACAAAATTTATTTCATCAGGGTAAAGGACAAAGAGACATATTTTTAAACTCAAGTTATATAATATATTTTAAAAACCCTCGAGATAAAACTCAAATAAAATATTTAGCAAGACAAGTATCACCAGATAACCCAAAATTCGTTGAAAATGCCTACAGGGATGCAACTCTAGAGGCGCATGGATATTTAATGGTAGATTTAAAACAGAATACCAATGATTTTTGTCGTATCAAGACAAATGTCTTTCCATTTAATGGTTTCTGTACAGTCTACGTCCCCACAAAAGAGTTTAAATACACCAAGAATAAAACAATTGAAATCATTGCTAAATGATGCATCGTCGACTCACAACGTATAAACATTTGCTAACCGCTTTGCATACGCTTAAACCAAAATATCAAAGAGCATTACTTAAAAGGTGTGATGAAGAAGAAATTAACTGTATTTGTGAGTGTATTCATAACGTTTTACAAGGAAAAGTACCTCTTAAAGATCAGGATAAACAAAAATTGAATAAACATAAAAACATACTCCGTAAACTAGTACGTAAGTGTAAACATAAACTAAGAAAAAATATAATTATACAAAAAGGAGGGGCTTTCTTACCAACAATATTAGGTGCAATATTGAGTGGATTAGTGAGTGGACTAGCCAGTTAACATGGAAAATGCAAAGAAAATGATACTTATCGAACCTGGATTGATTGAAAAATTAAAACAAGAAAATAAGGTTAATAGTAATTTATCTCGATTAGATATTGAAATGCAAAATATTATGAATAGTAAGACGGAAGACCGAAAGAAATGGATATTATATTTACAAACACTGCAAAGATACCTTCATTTTACCGAAGAGGATCGTCAACCACTCAAATTACCAATTTATTCTGATACATCTAATGAAGATTCAAATGAGTCAAAAATTGGTTTTAAAAATAAAGATAGAGATCTAAAAACTTCAGTTGATATTGAATCTTTGCTGGAGGAGAATCGATCCATTAAAAGTAAAGAAAATGATGAAAATCCACTTTACACACCAGCTCAAATACTCAGTTTAATACCAAAAACTTATCATAAAAAAGGGCAGTTATTATTAAACTTAGTTCAAACAAGTAAAAGTAAAATACATTGGGATAACGAAGGTACAGTCATAATTGATAGTGAAAAAATTCCTGGAAGTAATATTGTTGATTTAATAAATGATTCACTAAGACCCCTAAAAAGAAGTGATCCGGTAGGGTGGGTTAGATTTGCTGAAGCATTAAAAGATATTAAAGTACCACTTACTTATATTGGAAATCCAAGGAGATGTGAGTTTATTAACCAACTTCAAGCAAAAGATCTGAACAAACCCTCTGAGATTGAAGTTCAAGAGTTTTCTACACCGTGCAGTAGAGATAAAAAGTCTACAACTAAAATACGTAAAGGACTTGAGTGGGAAAAATGGACTCCGTACTAGAAGAAATTAACAGGATTTATTATGATCCATCTAATCCCGCTGGTTTTGGTAGTATTGATAAATTATCAAAAGCCATGAAGGGTAAAATGAATAAAAAGCAAGTAAAGGAATGGTTAAAATCACAAGAAACATACACATTACATAAACCCATTCGAAAAAAATTCCCGCGTAATAGGTACATTCTATCAAATATTAATGAACTGTGGCAAGCTGATTTAAGTGATATGCGAACTTATTCTCAATATAATGATGGTTTCAAGTATATACTTTGTATTATTGATGTATTTAGTAAATATGCTTTTGCAAGACCAATGAAAAAGAAAAACTCAGAAACAACTAAAGAATGTTTTGAAAGTATATTTACTGAAAGTAATTTAACACCTACTCACATACAATCCGATAAAGGTACAGAATTTGTTTCAAAAGATGTACAAAAATACTTTAAATCCAAAAAGATTAATTACTATACCACTAACAATCCTGACATTAAGGCCAGTATTGTTGAACGATTTCAAAGAACACTAAAAATGAAAATGTGGCGTTATTTCACTCATAATAATACTTATAGATATATAGATGTTTTACAAGATTTAATATACTCTTATAATCACAGCTTTCACTCTAGTATTAAGATGTGCCCATGTGATGTAAATTCCAACAATATTATGACAGTTTGGACTAATCTTTATGATAGACGGTCAAAAAAACTTTCTTTAGAAAATCCTAAACCAAATTTCAATGTGGGTGATTATGTTCGAATAACTAAATATAAACATGTATTCCAAAAAGGATATGAATCAAATTGGAGTGATGAAATATTTATTATATCTTCAATAATTGATAGATCTCCATGGGTTGTTTATACAATAACAGATTTACAAAATGAACCAATAATTGGTACTTTTTATGAAAGAGAATTACAGAAAATCACTTACAACCCCACCTCACAACATAAAATAGATAAAATAATTGACACTCGTTATTCAAGTAACAGAAAAGAAGTATTAGTGAAGTGGAAAGGTTATCCAGATAAATTTAACAGTTGGATTTTAGCTTCTAGTTTAAAAGAAATATGAATAAAGAAAGTTTCTATTTAACTTTGCTCAGCAATAGTTCAATGGAATACTTTCCTGATAACAAGACCACAAATTTTTCAACGAAATTACCAAAAGCTATAAAATTAGAAGGTGAATGGTCGGTTGGAGTTGTCGAGTTTCAATATCCATGTACCATGTTTACTGTTCAAGACCATGAAAATGTTATATACATTACAAAATCTATGTTAATGCCTAATGAAGATAAGCCATCCACAGTGTACTACAAAAAACATATTCCAGCTACCAACTATGATAACGTTGAGCATATTTTAAGAGTGTTAAATGGTATCGGAGAGAACTTGAAATTTCGCTATGATGAAATAACAAAATTTGTGTCTATTTCGGTATTGGATAAAAATATAACATCCGTAACATTATCACCCAAATTAAGTTTACAGCTAGGTTATGAACCAAATAAAAATCTCCTAGAGAGAAATTTTGGAAAGTGTCCTGCTAATTTACACTTAGGGTTACCATCTCAACTATTTCTATATTGCGACATTATCGATCCTCAGATTATGGGTGATGTTATGACTCCTTTATTAAGAGTCATTTCATTAGATCCTACAAAATACATTTATGGTGCAAATAAAATGCACGTTTTCTCTCAACCTCACTACTTACCTGTTATGCGAAGAGAGTTCGATACGTTGGAAATAGTTATAAGATCGAGTACAGGACAAAAAATACCATTCCAGTTTGGAACCGTGTGTATTAAACTACATTTCCGAAAATTATAATAATGAATTCTCTTCGTGATCATCATAAATGTCCATATGAAAATTATTATACACATCAAGCTGGATCAGGAGTTGGAGTAATTTATAAGGGTTCACCATATCAACGCGGTCATGGTATTGGGAGCTTCTTAGGGGGGTTATTCAGATCAGTTTTACCTTTACTTTCAAGTGGTGCTCGAGTGATTGGTAAGGAGGCATTAAGCGCTGGAGTAGGACTTTTATCGGATATGGTTCAAGCCCGTCCTATGGAAGCCTCAATAAAAGATCGTCTAAAGCAAGTTAGTACGAATTTAAAACGAAAGGCTGATGAGAAAATTGATCAATTTAACATGACTGGATCTGGGTATAAAACTAAAAGAAAACGATTGACATCGTTCATTCCACCATTAACTGCTAAAGTGAAAGCTGCGAAAAAACTTAGTCTAAAACCAAAAAATATCAAAGATATATTTTCAAACTAAATATGTCTTTCCTTCATAATCATTCTTGCGAGTGCGTTAAGTCAGAATTGGATTTGTTTGCACTACCGTCTACACAAACTAGCATTGAAAATGGATTGTGGATTCATTATAAACCAATTTCATCTCTTGGTGATGATGGACCTATCGAGTTTCAAGTTCCTGGGACCGGCGATGACTACATAGATTTGTCTCATACATTACTCCACATAAAGGCAAAAGTATTAAATCAAGATTCAACTAACTTGGTATCTACTACAATAGTAGCACCTGTAAATAATTGGCTGCATTCACTTTTTAGTCAACTTGATGTTTATTTAAACCAAAAACTTGTATCACCACCTAATAATACCTATGCATATCGAGCATACATGGAAACCCTTTTAAACTATGCCCCTGCTGCTAAACAATCTCATCTTACTTGTAGTCTTTGGTATGAGGATACAGCAGGAAAAATGGATTCTACAGATGGTAAAAACATAGGATTTGTTAAAAGACAGGAATTGATTAGTGAAAGTAAGGAAATAGAAATGATTGGTCATCTTCACGGTGACATTTTTAACCAAGATAAATTTTTAATTAATGGTGTTGAAATGAGTGTTAAATTGGTTCGATCAAGAGATAGTTTTAATTAAATTGTTGGATCAAACGATGTAAAGTTTAAAGTTTGTATTACGGACGCAACTCTTATTGTTCGACGAGCACGAATTAATCCAAGTGTATTACTCGCACATCAAAAAGTTTTAGCTTCTACCACTGCTAAATATCCTATTACTCGAGCTGAAGTAAAAGTTTTAACAATTCCTTCGGGTGTTCAAGGAAAAACTCTTGATAATATATTTTTAGGACAGGTACCGAAAAGATGTATAATTGGATTTGTGAACAATTCTGCATTTAATGGTTCCCTTACTAAAAATCCATTTAACTTTGAAAACTATGGTATTAATTCTTTCAGCTTATATATTGATGGTCAACAAATACCTTCAAAAGCTTTGCAACCATCTTTTAATAATAGCATATTTACATCAGCATATCATACTCTATTCTCGGGAACTGGTATTCACTTTCTTAATGAAGGAAATGGAATCTCTTGTGAACAGTATGGCAAAGGTTACTGTCTATTAGCATTTGACTTAACTCCTGATTTATCAGCTAACTCATCAACTCATTGGAATCTCATAAAGCATGGTAGTGTAAGAATAGAAGTACGATTTGAATCCTCATTAATACAAACAATTAACTGTATAGTTTATGCTGAGTTTGATAATATTATTGAGATAGATAAAAACAGAAATGTTACTGTAGACTATAGTAGTTTAGGTTATAATATGTGTTGTGTGTTAGATTTTATGTGTTATGTGTAATGCATTTTGTGTGTATGTAACTATGTGAAACGTTATAAAATTAAATAAAACAAATTGTATGCAATATATTTTTTTTTTATTTCTTTATAAATCTTCTATTTAATCTAATACAAAACACTGTTCGAGTTGAAATTTTACATAAGCACACTGACTAAACCACTGAACATGCTGCTGCCAAGGATCATCATCATCTTCCCAATCTTTTAAACCACCACCACAATGGAAACACTTGGTCCCGTCTGCATGGCCAGTATAAAAGAAACCAGCTTCTGCAAGATCTTCAGGTTTCTGTCGCATAACTAGAGGCCAGTTTTCGAAACTAAGCAAACGGCTAGATTTTGAACTGAAGAATGGATATTCAGCTCTTGAGTACTGCATACTCTTCTCGTTTTCTTCTCCACTCAGTGTTGTAGTTTTGTTATTCAATGATGTGTTTTGTACACGTATGCCACACTCATCTCTTCCTTCCGCTCTTGTCTTCCTGTAATTGAAGTAAACAGAATCACATTCACTAATGATCAGCTAATGACTGTCATTGTTAAAAAAGTATTTTTTAACTTTTTCACTTTCTGCTATTGTCTTTGTTATATTGTATACGAGGGCGTTTGTGTTGTCGTAGATGCTATCCTTATTAGTCTTTACGTAATATTTAATTCTAGTGGAAGCATGTTTCCAATGATCAGTAGTTGGAATCTTGGATAGCTTCTTCATATCGTACATTTCAATTTTGATGAGATGCGTCGCTTGGTCTCCGTCGTCAGAATTAGTAGAAATGTATGATACACCATCTCTAGCGGCTCGTGCTACGGTTGATGATAACAGCTTCCTCTTTTTTATTTTTGATTCAGCTTCAAAAAAATGATCAATCGATTGCGATTTTCTTTTTCCACCATCGCATGTGTTATTATTAATGACGAGGTTATCACTCTCTTCTTGAGGGGAGAGTGGCGAGTAGTAATACTGTTTATAGGTATCTTCATCGAAGCTCAATGATTTCTGCAACAACACAGTTATCATGTTAATATCAATTTGTTAACACTTAATCATAAAAGTTAAAAAAGTTAAAGTTACAGCTCATTTCTGAGAGGGTTTTAGAGCAAGGAAATGTCCGCAGCGCTCCCTCAATGTGTGTTGGCGAACTTCACATGCCTTCGAAATTTTCTCAGACATGCAGGTTTCCTCACGATGTTTTCCTTCACCACCAAGCACGTGGTAATAAGCACTTAAAATTGCTATTAACAATTTAATTGGTGCTGGCGGGGATCGAACCCGGGTCGCGTACTGTGAAATTTACAGCTAGCGCTAACCATCTGAGTTACCACGGCTTAATCATATACATACACAATATTTAAATAAAATAATACACACACATGAAAATAACAGAAAAAAAGTAATTTAGTCAATAGAATAAACACTTACATCCATAGCCTTTGGTGTATTGAAGTAACACAAAATGTACTATTGATAGATCCACTGTAGCCAAACGACCGTACACTAACTCGATGACTGCGTTTGTTGGTCTTATATACCAACAGTACGTAAAAATTCTAATCTAAAGTATTTCCGTAATGAGTTGATAATTACTTTATGCGTCAACCAGTTTATCTCACATTTCCGTTGCCTATCTCAACATTTCTTCGTATTGTGTTTTGTTTGGTGATCAATGACTCAAGCACGATTTGTATAACACAAAAATGCAATTTAATATTTAGAAACATATCAGTTTATCTCACATTTCCGTTGCCTATCTCAACATTTCTTCGTATTGTGTTTTGTTTGGTGATCAATGACTCAAGTACGATTTGTATAACACAAAAATGCAATTTAATATGTAGAAATCACTATAATTGACCATTCCTATGTTATTCATTGAGTAGCTAGGTACTGTAATAATCTACTAATAGCAGTAATATCATGGATACACTAGATGTACAACAACATCTGAAAAAGATTCACCCCAGTCTAGAAAATAATGTTTATGCAGCTAATAGACTGCCTATGTATACCCACGTACCAACGTATATAATATGTAATTTGGATACAGATGATAAACCAGGGTCACATTGGGTAGCTTTATATATCGATACGAATGACGTCGGTCAATATTTTGATTCATATGGACGATCACCTGTACGATATCATCTAGAGTTTTTAAAAAGGAATTGTAAAAGATGGAACTGGAATGTTGATAGGATTCAGAATGAGTGGACTTCAGTTTGTGGCGAATATTGCTTAATGTATTTACTATATAAGTTTCAAGGATGTTCAATACATAGTTTTACGAGTATATTTACAAGGAACACATTGTACAACGATATTTTAGTGGATGAGATGTTTCGCTCCTATTTTATAGATAATAATTAATAAGATTTTGTATTTTATAAATAAAAATTGTAACAAAATTATGTAATGTGTTTTATTGATGATTCAGATTAGCGTTGTATAAACAAAGAATTATAATACAATAGCACTGATATAGTCGACGCACACGCTGCAATGAAGGTGATTAAGGAACAATAGAACAATAGAAATAGGAACAATGGGACGCTAATGACGGTGGAGGCCCTTACCGGATATCAATTAGATATTAGCTAATTGATCTACACATCTCCGGAACCGTGCATTCTACACAAAAATGGACCGCGGATTCGTGATCAGAGCATGCCAAAACCTTTTTTTAGGATCGGGCGTCGACGAACGTCGTTGAACCACGTCTGACTCAGGTGGTCTAGAAGTGGTACAACTACACTACTTTATAGACTTCACATAGGCACATTTACTGCGAAAAGAAATTAGAATAAAGTTTAGCTAAGGTTTTGAAATGTATCTATATAATTAAAATTGAAGTATCTGTTTATAATGTCAAAATAACAGCTTTTTACTAAATGCATATGAAAGTGTATTATACGGTACTTATAACAAAAAAACAATTTTTAAAATGTTTGTCTGTCTGTCTCTTTGTTTGTTCCGGCTAACATCCGAAAAGGGTCGACGGATTTTGACGGGACTTTCACTGGCTATGTTATTAGGAGTTACTTGGCTATTTTAGGTCTTAGAAAAATAATTAGGGCTTTAGGTAATAAATTCCATGCGGACGAAGTCGCGGGGAACAGCTAGTTTAGAATAAAATAATTAATAAAAGTATGTAAAGTAATTACCTAGAAATGTCATCTTGCAGTAAAATTGTGTGTGTGTACGCTAAATCACAACACACCAGCTTCAAGCTGCTGTGTTTCGTATGGTGAGTGTAGAGAGCCGGAGACCCTTTTTACTGGAAAAGAGGCATTCTATCTTAGTCCTCACGGGTGACAACGCATCTGCATTTTGATTCGCAAACGAGGATAGATGTAGATGTCTATGGGCCACAGCAACCACTTACCATCAGGTGGACTTTGTGATCGTTTGTCACCCTATCCTATAAAAAAAAGAAAAGTGGGTCCATCATAAAACTATACGGTAGGCACTAAACGAGGTCTGTCGTTTGATGGCGAAACATATAGCAAGTAACGGTGAACCCACAGACCGGTGAAAGTGAGGGGTATTACCGGTTTGGTTAAATCTTCCAAGGAGTTCTTGCTAGCTGGCAATTGAAAAGGCATTTGCTGACGCTGATGGTCAGCAGAAAAAAGGCTGGCCATTTGAAGCGATAATATGTATAATGTCCTCCTATAACTACATAATTTCGAGACTATGCAGCTTCTCTGCAGCTTGGGGCGTATTAAAATAACCCTCATTTTGACCTGACAAAAAAGCGACTCAGCTGAACCTACGAATATAACTCTGTATGCTTCATTAAACGAATGCAGTCTCCATAAGTAATCACTCGCCCATTGAGTCACTCAAACAAAATTTCAAATTCAAAATTCACTCACTGAGGCTAGGCTGTCTGGCCACAGGTTTTTAATACGTCCAAATAGGATGGCCGGGTGGAGAACACGTAATGCATGGAGTCGTTTTCACCAAAAAGCGAATCATAAACTCGACGCCTGTGAGATGGGAATCAAAGCTCGACATAATGAGGAACCTCTATTCACTGTATACCGTAAATGTTGTGCTACTGGATGCGACTATATTTTTTTAATATGAGATTTTTTTAAAGTATATTAATTACTCTTAGCTATTGTGATAATTAATTTAAAATAGTGAAAAACAGATAAGCAGAAAAGTTATTATTCTTAACTTTGATATCTGTTTTTAATATTTTATTTGACGAAACCAATATTAAAATCGAGGTAATTTATATTTGTTCCACTTTAATACAAATTTTGATATAGGTAGTCTTTAAAGCTACAGTCTATATACGTCCCACTGCTGAGTACAAGCCTCCTCTCATTTCTGAAAGGGTTTTAAAGCAAGGAAATGTCCGCCGCGCTGCATCAATGCGTTTTGGCGAACTTTATATGCTTTCAAAATATTTTTTTTTCTTATTTCTCAGAAATGAAGGTTTTGTTCACGATGTTTTTTTCACCTCCGATTACGAGGTAAATTGGCACTTAGAAATTCAATCAACAATTTCATTAATGCCAGTGGGGATCGAACCCGGGTTGTTCGTGTACTGTGAAATTTACATCGATCGCTTAGTCCCTGAGCTATTGCGGCTATTACAGCGTTATTTGATAGTTTAAGTTAGTAAAGTTTAACAGTGGTAGAGCCACGCGGCAGCTTTTGCTGTCGCACGGATGGGCCGGCTCGAACCGGTGTGGTACCACGACCTCACAGAATACCAGCGAGAAGTAGAGGCTTACCTCTGCGTTTCGCTTGGTGAGTGCAGGTGGCCGGAGGCCCTTTTTACTGGAAATGAGGCATTCCATCTTAGTCCTCACGGGTGACAACGCATCTGCATTTTGATTTGCAAACGAGAATAGATGTAGATGTCTATGGGCCGCAGCAACCACTTACCATCAGGTGGACTGTGTGCTCGTATGTCACCCTTATCCTATAAAAAAAAAGTAAGATTGATATTTGGAAGTTTATTTAATTCTGGTCTAAGTCATATAATGGTAAAGCGTCTCAGCACATAATGTTATATATTTAATGTGCCCAAATGACCTTTCAATTTATATAAAGCAATCCTCCTACTGATTCAGTGCAATTCAAGGTCATTACAGTAGTTTTAATGTTGCAACCAATGTTCTGTTTTATGAGACTATATACCTGTTATTTTTGCTTTCTAAACTATCTTATTATATATTTACAAGAATCAAGATTGTTGAATTTTTATTATATAATGAATGAAGTTCAAGAATAAGACAAGTAACATCTTTTATTTTCATACTAGCTGTTCCCCGCGAATTTGTACACGTGGAATTTATTGCGACTGGATTTCATGGGTTTTAATTTTTTTGCGCGGGCCCCTAAAATAAAAGTAGCCTAAGTTACTCCTTATAACAGCTATCTAAAATCTCTATCTAAAACTAGGCCTAGTAAAATTCAAATAAGAGTTAAAATAACTACTTTTGTCAACTTAGTAAAAAATTCAAAAGCACCTATCAAGTAATTAAGCGAAAGTTGATTAAAGTGCGGTTGAGCGAAAACCGCGAATACTTATCTAATTCTTATCTAAAATTCATTTAAGAAGAAAGAAGTGGTTGTTGAACGCTAGTTTTTTCACTTTGAAGCAGTATCTGCAATCAGTTTCTTTAGAAAGTCTAAGTAGCATGAATGTCAAACTGCATGAATGCTATGAAATGGTTGCCAGGTGTTTTTACTTCTGTGAGCAACAAGCGACCGAACACTGGTCCCCGCGGGCTACTTTTTCGCCATGACAAGGCAGCCGTGCACTCAGCGCTCAATAGAAGGGATTTCGTAGACATCACACTGGTTAACTTTATGGGTTACCCTTCTTACATCCCAGATTTGGTAGCGTATGACTTCTTATTATTCCCAAAAATAATAAATGAGCTGAAAGGAATAGGTACGGCTTTGTAACCGAGTTCAAAAAAAAGGAGGTACTGAATTCTAATGTATGTTTTTTTATTTGTGTTACCTCATAACTTTTATCTAGGTGAAACGATTTTGATCCTTTTTTTTTTTTGGAAGCTGTTGCTCCTGATGTGGTCTCATAATAGTAATAGTAGTTTTTGAGTTATACTTAATAATGCCTATTTAATTGACTTCGACTACATTGATAATGTTCTCATTTCATTTATATTAAAGTTGGTTGTGCACAGTTTTTAATTTTACCACGTGTATTTCGGCGGAAGATGTGGTAGCAGCGTTCGAGCATGCCGTAAATGAGATGTCGAAAGCGGACTGCAAAAAGTGTTTTAAAATTCGGTTCAAGGGCATAAAACTTTTTATAGGTATTTTCTTTGAAAATATTAATAAGAAAACATCAACCAAAAACTTTTTTGTTTTGCAAAAATTTACCCTTGTATATTTTAAGCCGCTTCCATTATTCCAACTTGCTTGGTTTGGTCTGGCTTGTTTGAGGAGCGGGCGGCTGACCGCGGGGACGCGAGGCGAGGGCGTCGGGACGCTGCAATCAGCTAACCGGATCAGCCCGGGCGCAAACACAATTGATAGCATGGCATCACCACGCAGACGATTCAAAGACTATGAGATGGTAATATGCTTCCTAGAACGTTCTACAAATATTCTGAGTATACCTGTGTCACAACCCTAAATAATTTACAAGTATTAAAAAAAAACTGCAATTAAATATTTATTCAGCGTCAAGACCCATAGAGATACTTTACTAAAATAATTGTGTCTATTTACAAGCTTTATCCACATTTAAAAAGATTTCGTTTCCACTTTCGTATTAGAGCAAGTATTTTTATTTCTAATAAATTATGCAATTTATTAATAAATCCAATCGGCCAACCTTTCTACTGGTAAGGAGGCATTCTATTTTATATCTAGTAGTGATAAGGCATCTGCATTTTTTTCTTAATAGATGTAGGTGGAATGTGTGCTCCTGCGCCCCCTTTCCCTAAAGGGGTCGCTTCCGATACGGCAGAAAGGCCCTCCAGGCCAAAGCCAGTCCCACAGGTGGTGTTTAGTGGGCAGGCACTTCATAGTATGTCCCACATAACCACGCAGCCGCTATGCTACGTATGGTATGGCTATGGTTTGCTACATTCACCCTCCCCGCTTCCCGGAGGTTAGCCCCTTGCTTTGTGCGCAAAATAAATGTGTGCTAGTTTGTAACCTTCTATAAAAATATCATTCATAGTATTAAAAAGGCCTAGTCTGAGCCTTCGACTGATAATGTGCTGATGAAGAGGGAAGGGAAGATTTAATTAATTCCTCGTAACGTACATTATGTTGACTTATGTACACCTGATGATAAGTGAATGCCGTGACATCTACAGCTATCTTCAGCTAAGTATCATAATGTAGATGCGTTGTCACCCTTGCGGACTAAGATGGAATGCTTAGTTTTCAGTAAAAAGGTATATATATATATATATATACTTTTACGTACTTGCGTAAATATGAATTCCTACTTATGTGTTTTTTATATATGAGCGGCTCACCTGATGGGAAGTGTCTACCGCCGCCCATGAACAACATCAACACCAGGAGAATTGATGGTATTGTGCACAGGTGTTGTGCGCTATAGAATTTGTAATAAAACATCATGCTGTAAAAAGTAAACTAACAAGCCCTTTACTTTATATTTAGATAATATTGAGACAAGAATTACTTAATTTCATCAAAACTCACGTTATTATAAAAAAGTAAATAATTGTCTGTCTGTCAAACACTGTTAAGCAACTCACATGTATAATCAACTAAAAAAATCACGCTTTCACTTTAATTTTTTTTTGGTATTGTATATGTATGATACTAATTACTAACAATTTAAGAATTAGAATTATGATTACAGATGAAATTTAAACGTTTTGTTAGTTCAAGAAGCTCATTGAATAAAACTACTTTACGGATTTTATCACGTTTAATTCACTTAATTTAAGTTACTCCGGAACTGAAGAACCGGAGTGAAGGTACTCCGGGTTTACTCTGACATCGGGACGTCAATCACTTCAGTCCCCCTTGACCATGGGCGCTAGAAAGCACCCGAAACGTCGGAAATTATAATGAAGTAAATTAAACACGATAAAATCCGTAAAAGTAGTTTTATTCAACGTGTAGTGTTTGTGTAAATATAAGAAATCACCAAGAATCTCATTTCAATTTCTGAATTTTTTGTTTCTAATGTAGGCACGAAGAAAAAACAACAAACTATTCATTAATGAAGTTACCTAAAACTTATTATTTAAATTTTTTCGTTAATAATAATTATTTCGTAAGTTAAAATAATGCTGTTCATTTTTTACTATAAAATCAAATTTTAGTAGGAGCTTAATTTGTGTTTGAGTTGTTGATTAATGAGAAACCCATTTAAAACATCTGGTTTGCACGTTGTAGTTGAAATGTAAACATTACCATAGGTTATGTAGAATCACGCGTTATTAGGTTTGTTTTGATAGTTCGTTTTAATCGCTTATAATTGCTAGGGTTGAAACATTGTGCGAATTGTAATAAAATGCAGTTTTATTCTCAGAATCATCTTTTTATCTTTCGAGTACTCTACACTATTTACACTTTTACAAGTTTAATTGCTAAAACATGTATTGTACATTGATTTATTAATAAATACAGGTAACAATATTTACAGCTTTACATGAATATATGTAAAAAGATGTTTTGCAATAATCAGTCTATTTCGAGTTCAATTTATACATACATATTTTACAATACTACTATCGTACACATTAAACTCTACCAAGAAAATATTTTAAACTTTAATAATAATTAGTTATTTCTATAGTGAATAGCTTTAACAACATACATAACAATTCATCTATTTTATTACAGTTCATCCTATTCAATAATGACTTCATAGTTTTCTGAGTGGAAATAAAAATAAAATACGCTAAAATTACTACATCTAATAATAAATATATGTATCTCTATTATTTACAAGCTCATTTGTATCACATTTCAACAACACCTCTATATCGGAGGCTGTAATTTATATAAATTGTCACAGAATATAACATAATTCAATATGGTCGCCATACTGATTTGTGGGTTGGTATCGTTCCATTCGTAATTTTGGTGGGTGTAGGACTAGAGGAAATAACCCTTGTTACTCTCGTGGAAGGCGCCTTCAGTTCATTACGTAAGCGTGGTCTGTCAGAAACAGTCGAGTCAGCTGCTTGTACTTGTTTTATTTCCTGAAGTTCCAGGTTCGCTGGTCTAGTTGGATGGAAAGCTGATTTGACAACTTCGATCGGCTCTTCATCAGACTCGTCTGAAATAATAGCATCATGCGTTGAATTTACTTCTGACTTTGAATCTGCTTTTGATCTTGGACTAGCGTTTACAATGCTCCGTGGACTTCCACTTTGTCTGCTGCTTGTGGGTGATAAACGAACACTTGACGTATCCATCGATGATACATTGCTTTGTAAATTTCTCAAGGCATCGTAGGGATTTACACCGTTCTTAAGGGTCAACTCCGGTGGTAAAGATTTCAATGCCAGCTCAGCAGGATGTGGCGCGAAGGGTAGTAGTCCATTCGGAGGCAAAAATGCACCCGGTGGTGGCAGCAATCCACCCGGTGGCAAGTTAGTCATTGCCGGCGGGAATGGAAATAATTCTGATCCAGGCAACGTCACTGGTGGTGTTACTATTGGAGCCGCTCCTAAGGAAAACAAAAACAAATTGTTAGTATTCCTCAGATGTATGTATTTAATTGGTAATGCATTATAGAACATGCTCTTTGGTCGTCTTTCAGTTGCCTGATTTGCTAACATGACGTAATATGAGCTACTAGCCCCTGGGGAAAGCCTAGAGCCCGCAGGCACTCTGTCGATTCCCTGAACAACGAGGGTGCATAATAGTACTAAGGATAATGTACAATCTGTAGGCGTTTAAAGGCGGCTTCGACGAAAGGGATGTTTTTTTAGTGCAATATCGGGAGGGTGAGGGTGCAATATTTATTTATCCGAATGCGACATCGTTTTTTACAACCCGGACACGACATACCGCTGTAATTCAGCCCGGTACGTCTCCTTTCTGTTTCTCTGCAAAGAGAAAGCACATTAGCAATGCCAGGCACGCGGTGAGGTGTCGCAATGGGCACATGTGCGAGACACAAAGCGAGTTTCGTTGCGATAAGGAGCGCCGCTATCTCGACACCGAGTGGACAAAGAGAGCTCGAAACGTGAAATTTTCATTAGCCGTGTTCAAAAAGTTCTTGTAGCTGCGCAAGCTTTGATTCTCGAGAGCGTGTAAGAGAGGCTTGCACATAAAAAGGACACGATGGAGGCACAGATTGGGCCACAAAGAGCTCGGAGGTGGTGCAACGTTCGTTTACGTTTTACACTTTTTATATTTGCAGCAGTGGCAGTGGTGCGCAGACCACTTTAAAAGGCATCGAGGGTGGGTGGGGACGTAACTAGGGGGTAATTTGGTGAGGCGGGGGCCAATATCGGCATTGTGCCTGATTGAGGTGATCCCGGCCGTTGGATTTGATTCTCTTTTACTTTGACCATTATTTTTATTGAATTAATATTATCTATAACACTTTTGAAGAATTACTTAATTTATTAAAATAATTATGTTTAATGTATGCAAAACACAATTCGCTTTAGTGATAAAATAAATAAGCATGACATAAATACAAGATGAGTGCAATCAGTGCACACAATTTAGTTTTCGGCGTATGTACATGGAAGATAATTAAAATTCGGAACTGACACGTCGATGTGCGAGAACGAGCCTAACCTAGGTTTAATAAAAGTCGGGTAGGTGTTTGAGTACAGCGGTCCTCGCGTTTCAACGACGGAAACAAAAAGTGGCTGGTGGCGCGGTCGCCTACATTGGAATAAAATTGACTCCACACTCTCTCGAACGTGAAGGCGGTGCTTTTTTAGCCGTTTTCTGTTCGACGCCCCCACTTCCCCCGGCGCGGACTTCAGCGGGTGGTTGCTTCGGTCGGACCAAGCGTTGTTTTGCAATGCTCAAGAGTCGTTTCTTTTATTTGAGCCGCTTTGCGTTGTACGGCCTTGAGGGGTGGTGCTGCGAGCAACATGTTTTCGAGTGTTGTTTGCTAAATCGGGAATTTTTAAATTAACGAATGCCAAATAATCCGTCGATTGGAAGTTTGGGAGGAACCGGATAATGTTAGTAAATATTTAATGTGCATTCTATACAATTATATATTATCTTATTTACCTTATCCGCAACTTAACTTTACAGGCCGTACGGTACTTAATTCTGTGTAATGTATAGCACTTAATTTAATTATATTTCCGACACTGTTGTTGATTTATTAATATTCATAAGTGGCAGAGATAAAAATGTTCGAATGCTTTAATTTCTGTATGTTAATTAGTAATGATGAATGACTTTGACAAGTTATGTAGAGGCACAGTTTAGAGAAGCTTAGAGAAGTTTACTAACTAACAAAGGCAAAAGTCAGAAGATGCAAGAAAAAAACAGTTCCTTAATTGGCCGTGACATAATTTTTAAATGACTTAAAAAAGGAGAAGGTTCTCAATTCGAGTGTATGTTTTTTTTGTATGTATATGACATCTTCGCAGATTGTGGACCAATTTTGATGATTTTTTTAATTAAATAGGTTATAGGTACTTCAAAATTTCATCAAAATTTCAGGAAAAAATACATTAAAAGTTATAATTATTAGATATGTAAAGGCATTATTGATTTCTTATATTTACGCGAACACTACACATTTAAATAAAACTAATTTTACGGATTTTATCGCGTATATTAACTTATTTTATATTCCCGACGTTTCGGGCACTTTTCAGCACCCATGGTCACGGGGGGGACTGAAGTGTATGACGTCCCAATGTCATAGTTAACCTCGGCTACCTTCAGATTAAAAATTATTAATTTTTGTTCCGATCTACACAGTATGAACTTACAGTATCATGAAGTCTTGCAGTTGTATGCTTGGGTTGGGATTTAATTTTATTAATTATGGGATCCCAAGCAGATGGTAGCTCGCAGCCATCTTCTCTATTGAAATTAGGATGTTTTTTAATTTCAATAGCCTCGCGAATCATCCTGGGGAGGAATCGGTCTTCTTTAGCGAGGATTTGTGGTCTATCAAATCTAAGGTAGTGACAGGGGCGATCCTGTACGTGTTCACAGACTGCAGATTTCCCGGAACGTAGATTCTTCACATCAGCTGTGTTCTTTAACGAGGGTTTTTATGGATCTTTTAGTATGTCCTATATAAGAGAGACTACATTCACAATCAAGCTTGTACACTCCTGCATCTTGCATATTACACTTGACTGATGGTAAAAACTGACTAATATATACTGAATATCACTAGTTGTTTTAAGTTTGTTATTTGTTGGGTCATTTTTAACCTTTTTATAAGTACTTACTATAAGAAAAACAAGAACTTTTGTCAGATGTAAGTACGTATAAAAAGGTTAAAAATGACCCAACAAATAACACACTTAAAATAACTAGTGATATCATAAAGAAACACTTCGAAAAATTAAATCTAGACGTAAAATCGATAATACCTACGTGTGCAAAACTACCGAAGTTGTATGGGTTACCAAAAATACACAAGCCCAATGCTCCACTACGTCCCATAGTGAGCCAAATCGATTCACCAACTTACAGATTTGCTCAACACTTAGCGAATATACTCTCACCGCTCAGGGGACATACAAGAGCACACACAAAGGATTCCTACCATTATGTCAGCGAGATTAAAGACCTACATCTGGCAGACAATTAAACTATGGTTAGTTTTGATGTGCAGTCTCTGTTCACATGCTTACCTGTTGAGGACTGCATCTCGATTGTTACTAGAAGACTAGAGGAAAACAACATGCCCGTAGAATATGCAGTATTACTCAGACACTGCCTTACATCTGGCTACGTATTGTGGAAGGAGGAGTTTTACAAGCAAGTAGATGGAGTGGCGATGGGCTCACCTGTATCTCCCATTGTCGCCGATATATTTATGGAGGACTTTGAGGAGAAATCCCTGCTTACTTCTCCTGTAAACCCAAGATTCTACAAGCGGTACGTAGACGACACTTTCACAATTCTACCTTTAGATAGAGTAACTGCATTTTTAGACCATCTTAACTCCTTAAATTCTAAAATTCAGTTCACTATGGAGTTAGAGGCAAACAATTCTTTAGCTTTTCTAGATGTGTTAGTAATTCGGAATCCTGATAACACCTTGAGCCGCACTGTGTATAGAAAAAAGACCCATACAGATAGATATTTAAACGGTGATTCTCACCACCATCCTTCACAGTTAGCTACCGTGGGTAAATCTTTGTTTCAGAGAGCACGAAGTATCTGTGACAGTAAACACCTGGCCGCCGAGCTCCAACACGTCAAGCAAGTTTTGCACGACAATAAGCTTCGGGTCCCGCGCCTACGTCACAGCGAATGAGTGAAGCCGGCCAAAGTCGAGCGAGTGCCTGCTGTACTGCCATATGTCAGAGGTGTCACTGACAAGATTGGCTACATCTTGAAGCGTGCTTCCATTAAAACATACTTCAAGCCGCCGAAGAAGATTAGTTAGTTTTTACCATCAGTCAAGTGTAATATTCCTCTGCAAGATGCAGGAGTGTACAAGCTTGATTGTGAATGTAGTCTCTCTTATATAGGACATACTAAAAGATCCATAAAAACCCTCGTTAAAGAACACATAGCTGATGTGAAGAATCTACGTTCCGGGAAGTCTGCAGTCTGTGAACACGTACAGGATCGCCGCTGTCACTACATTAGATTTGATAGACCACAAATCCTCGCTAAAGAACACCGATTCCTCCCCAGGATGATTCGCGAGGCTATTGAAATTAAAAAACGTCCTAATTTCAATAGAGAAGATGGCTGCGAGCTACCATCTGCTTGAGATCCCATAATTAATAAAATTAAATCCCAACCCAAGCATACAACTGCAAGACTTCATGATACTGTAAGTTCATACTGTGTAGATCGGAACAAAAATTTAAGTTAAGAAGAGTAATAGCCTCAGAAATAGACTTTGAACCGCTTAGTCTACCTCATCTTCGTATTTACCTATTTACGTTTTATCATTATCATTACAACAGCCCATTGCAAGTCCACTACTGTACATTGACCTCTCCCAAGGAATTTAACAAAGCACTTTTTTTTTATAGGATAAGGTTGACAAACGAGCACACAGTCCACCTGATGGTAAGTAGTCGCTGTGGCCCATAGACATCTACATCTATCTTCGATTAAGAGTCAAAATGCAGATGCGTTGTCTTCCGTGAGGACTAAGATGGAATGCCTCGTTTCCAGTAAAAAGGGTCTCCGGTTCTCTACACTCACCATACGAAACACAGCAGTGTTAAGCTGCTATTTTACGCTGGTATTCTGTGAGAGCGTGGTCCTTCCCCGGTCGAGCCGACCCATTCGTGCTACTACCATAAAATAGATGCAGCATGGCTCTACCACGTATAAAAGCACTGTCATAAGCTACCTGCACTTATCTACTTCCTGCATCTCATTTAATATTATTTTTTATTCTTTAAAAAACGTTACCACCACACTAGGATTTTCTCCTGTATCGTGGAAGCAGTTTAAAAATATAAATTGCACGAGTACAAACATCCCGACCCGGAACAATTATTTGTAGGCCATACAAATACTTGTTCCGTGCGGGATTCGAACCCGCGGCCACCAGCGCAACAACTCATTGCAAACCCACTGCGCCACGGAGCCGTCAATTTTTTTTTAGTTATATGACTTAAGTTAGACTAAAATGTTATTAGCCACTATTGATATTGATATATTACCTTTTATGAGCGTGGCGGTCTGCTCTCTCATCGGCGGTCTGAAATAATCCGCCCAAGCGTAGTTGAGGTAGGCAGCGTCAAACCAGCCAGGGTTGAGCAAAAACGGATTAAAGGCACCAGGATGTCCGTAACCATAGTCTGAAACAAGGAGATAAAATTAATAATTAGTAAAGATGCTTATGTTTGTATTTTTTTTTGTAATTAGTTATTAAGTATGATAACTAAGATAGGTTTATGACATGATTAATAGTAACCCGTGGGAATGGAGGTTAGATCAAATTTGTTCGATCAAGACAATGCTATAACAATTTTTTTTAATATTAACAACTTTATATTTATTTAAACTTTTTATATTTTATTCTAAAACAATTTAATTATTATTTAGAATGGAGTACCCCTAGGCAATTTGTGGGTTCTTCTCAGGGCATAGGTTATTCCGAACCAGTGCTGAAAGCATAAATATTAGTAGATTATTAAATAGGCAGCCATTACTCATAACCTAAAAAGCACCGCTGAAGGGACTGCAGTACCGCCCAAATTTCGACGGAATCAAAGGCTTTCTCATAGTCCACATACGTGAAAAAAAGCGCGCGTACCATTGCCTACAAAAGCGAAGCCACCGAGCAGCGTAGGGAAGATTGTGTTCACTAGTTTTTTTTTGTCATTTCGATGGGATATCAATTGTCAATTCCTTTACAAAATCAAAGTATACTACCAAATGTTTGCCAATAGTGTTCACTGCTGTAAGTAAGAAGCGACCGAACATGGTGCTCCGCAGGCATTAGCTTCACCTAATATAGAATAGAATAGAGGAATAAAATTACTCTATTCCAATGTAGAATATTATTAGTGCAATATCAATTCGCCTGCCAAGTTCTGCGGTTATTAGATAATTACTTATGAAGATGTCGCAGATGAGGATAAAATTAAATTATCATTACCTTGAAGTAAATACTCTTGTCTTATATTAGGTGGTTGTATAAGTCTTTAAAAAGTGAATATACTTTTAGAAGTATCTTATTATCATAATATAGTATTTTTTTATAGGATAAGGGTGACAAGCGAGCACACAGTCCACCTGATGGTAAGTGGTGGTCCATAGACATCTACATCTATCCTCGTTTGCGAATAAAATGGAGATACGTTGTCAGACATGAAGATTAAGATGGAATGCTTCAATTCCAGTAAAAAGGGTCTCCGGTTCTCTACACTCACCATACGGATCACAGCAGCGTTAAGCTGCTATTTTACGCTGGTATTCTGTGAGAGCGTGGTCCTTCCCCGGCCGAGCCGACCCATTCGTGCTACAACTATACTACTAATATAGCTACAGCATCTACCACGTAAAAAAATCTAACTTAACTTAACTAAACTGAATACACGACCTTCACTCATTAACTATGGAGAGCAGTCACCAACTGACTACAAAAATATTATCGGTAAAAATCAATACAACTCACGAATGTGAGTTGGAAAAAGTAATATTTGGGTCTCAACCGATACCTCGATAGAGCACGTGATAAGTCAACAGTCATTATTTTAGTGTCATACAGTAAACATTTTGCAATAATAAAAGTGGTAGAGGCATGCTGATATTGTGGTTGTAGTTGTAGACATTATTTTTATTCAAACTCGAAGTTTAAAATGAGACTTAAGGTGTGAAATTTTTTTAAAAGAATAATTTGTACAAAAGTGTAAGTATCCAGTACCTAACCCTATAAATATTTTGCAATGAGCGATACAAAGTTAAGGCTATAGTTTACCCTAAAGTCACTCGTCGAAATCAGTTTCACAAATTTAAGTTACGTTTATAGGTTAAAAAATATACGACTAGCCAAAGTCTTATTTTAAATGAAACTGCCATTAGAAAATCAATAGAAAAATAATTTAAAGTTTCTTCCGTTTTGATAAGTTTTTCAGATTTATTCAAAATAAAATATTTAAATTATAACAGTAATTATATACTAAAATATGCTCTTCAGGATCTTTTTTGCTATCACTTACGTTATGTAATAAATACATTATTTTGTAGTTTAAAGGTGACAAAGTTCTGATGATTCGTGGATGCTACGGCCCATAGACATCTACACCTATCCTCAATTAAGTATCAAAAGGTTAATGCGTTGAGGACTAAGAGGCAATGCCTCGTTTCCAGTAAAAAGGGTATCCAGTTCTCTACACTCACCATACGAAACACAGCAGCATTAAGCTGGAATGCCAGTGCGGATAAGTTTTTCTTGAAATAAAGGTATGTTATGTTATAATAATGCCTATATCAGGCTGATAGTAGATACTGAAAACTTGATCTAACATAAAACAATTTCGAGAATAAATAAATTGAAAAATTATTTCCCAAAGAGAGTATATGTAGGTACTTTTAAAAATCAATTTGAAACTATTCGGTACTGCTCGCGTTATAGAGTAAAAGATTGAATTCCAATTCGTACTTTGTAAGTAATAAGCAGTAACATGCCCAGGTCTTGGACCACGTCCACAAGTCGCAATCACATCTCACAAAGGACGGCAGTAAAGGCGGCGACATACCCGCTCACTGTTTACCGCTCCCGTCGACTATAACAAGGGGCCTGTATACAAAATGAGCCGGTTTACTGCTAGTTAGACGGCTCCTCTGTGCCATACGTTTTTACGACCATCGAACGTCACATTGCCTTTCGCCTTTCAGCGAGCGAAACGCCTTTTTATTTGTTTAATCGATAACCTACTGAAGACGCCACTGCCGACGTCTATTCTTGTTTTACAGCATTTTTAATCCGGTACCGTCCATTACAATCGTTGCGATCAGGTGTATCGATTTTTATGGCTAGATTGACTTTTTTACGAGCACTCCCAAATACTTCGTCCCATGCGTTGCTGCTTCGCAGCTCTTTGTCAGAGGTTTATTGCACAAGATCGAAGAGGCCTGAACTAGTACTTTAAGGCACTATTAAAGTGTTCATGTGTAAATAATTAGCTGTGTCGACGTTTTTATTAGATACTAAGAATGTGGATCGTTTTATTTTCGTAAACACAAGCCGTTGCACGATTAGCGATTGTTCGGAACGGGCGCTTCCCAAATCGCGGGCATTTTAAATTAAGAGCGTGATGGATGGCCCGTCGCGCTGTCACGTGGCAATACGAGGAGAACACTCCGACGTCATGGAACAATAATAAGTTAAATGTGGAACTCGGAAATGGCCCGCTACATTTGTTAATGCCAGTATTCAATTAAATTCAGTTCCCCGGCTCTATACATGTAGGGGTTCCAGTAAACGTGTGCGTTTCTAAACGATATTGCCGCAATCGTTTAGGGCACGATAGTTGAAAAAAAAATCATTTGGCTTATTTGTAAAGGATCGAGTACTGTGTTTTCGATTTGGAACGATCCAACTTTAATCCATTAATTGTTCGTGCTAATACTATTATCATATTCATGTCGTTCTAAAACAGAAGACCAGTTGGGATTTAAATACCTAATGTGAATTATTGGAAAGAAAGACGCAATATTTTTAGAGCAGTTTGAGCGTTAGTGTAAGACATCAACAACTGACAACGACCTCTTTAAACCAACGAATTCGGTACCGCGATGTCAATAAACGGGTGAACGATCCAACATAAGTGTCAAAATAGGCATTAAATAACTGGAATGAGATGTGAGCGCTTGTCACTCGTAAATTAAATGATGAAGACGTTCTGGGCGCGTTGTGTAAATATAATCAGAGTTATGGATCATAATTTCGGGTCGCATTGGTGACGTTTGTAAAAATAAACTAATAACCCTTTCTTGATAAAGTAAAGAAGCATATTTTTATAATATTTGAGTAAACGAGCCATAAGTCCAACATATTTTTTTAATATGACATATGTAGTTGACAAACGAACTTAATGTTTACCTGACAGCATTAGATAAATGTAGTTCATGATCACTCGCAATGATCGATGAAAGCTAACAATTTCAAACATAAGAAAGTACTATATTAGCGTTGTCACCTCTGAAAACTAAGTAGAAAATTCTTAGCAGACTAAGTAATTAATTATATTGTTTTTGTTAAACATCAAACCGTTACAGAAAACTAGGTGGCAGATAGAGGGTAAGCTGCATTAGGCTAATAAATAAGGTATGAAACGTAAAGTCGTTGTACGTAATTCCTCATTCGGCTACTTTTTTTTATAGAATTAGGATGACACACGAATACACAGTCCACTGATGGTAAATGGATGCTGTGGCCCAGAGACATCTATATTTATCCTCGATTAAGAATCAAAGTGTAGATGCGTTGTCGAACCTGAGGACTAAGATGGAATGCCTCGTTTCCAGTAAAAAGGATCTCCGGTTCTCTACACTCACCATACGAAACACAGGAGCATTATGCTACTCTCGTGAACCACTAGCATTTTAAACTTATTTGGAGTGATTAAATGGAATATTAACTTGTTATGTTAATATCTTTTCTAGTATTTTTTTAAGTTAATAGCATTGCTAGTAAAGAATAGCTTAAGAACAAAAAAAAATTGGTTGGAGGGAGACAAGTAGGCCTTCCCTACCAATGACTTTGACATGAGCAGAACTTAAATAAGCTGTCGTAGTTAATTGAAATGCATGGAAAAGCTTAAATACAGTGATGGAAAAGTATTTAGCTTATCAATTAGTCGTTTATGTAATATATATATATAAACAAGTTTGGTAAAACTTTATCTTTTAACTAACGGTTTCTTGTAATTTATTACTTGCGTCTGTTGTTACGTTCTCTTTAAAATATTATATAGTAGTGAATAGTTTCATTAAGTAGATAGCTAACACCGTTAAAAACTATATTTAATAACGTTTTGTAACTGTACGTTGGAGCCTAAGTTGATTAACAATCGTTTTTGCTTAAAGAGAGACTAAATATAGGAATGTAAAGTAGACTATTGTATGTAATTTTTATACACGGTAGAGCCACGCTGCAGCTATATTATGACTGAAGCACGAATTGGTTGGATCCATCGGGGTAGAACGATGCTCTTACAGGAAATCAGCGTGAAATAGCAGCTTAACGCTGCTGCGTTTCGTATGTAGAGTGCAGAAAAGGAGACCCTTTTTATTGGAAAAGAGGCGCTTCATCTTAGTCCTCAGGTATGACAACGTATCTGCATTTTGATTCTTAATGGAGAATAAATGTAGATGTCTATGGGCTGCAGCATCTACGAATCCACAATGTGCTCATTTGTCACCCTTACTAAAAAAAAGATAAAGCACAAATAAAACGTAAAACCGCAAGTTCTTAAAAAGCCCAATAAAGATAATAATACAGTTTTAATTGACTGCAGTGAAACATAAACAGATAAGTTACCTTAAAGAAATACTTTAATTGAGGCAATTTTATATACACTATATTATATCAAATGGAGCGCGGAGGGGGTAGGGGGGGGGGGTGTTACAAACAGTTACTTCTCTAGTTAACTCCTTCGTATGTCGGTTGTGAGGGTCGCCGACTCTGGATGTGGTATTTTAGCAGCTAGCAGCGACATAAAATCCATATTTTAGAGGCGACCGCCTCCGGGGCGGGTGCTGGCGGGGAGATCAAACGGCGCTTTACGACGCGGGCCCGAGATTGTTTACATCTGTTACGCGACCGTGGCCGCACCATGAAACTTGCTAACCGCTGAGACTGAAAGTACCGCGTATTAAATACTGATGATTGTTGAGCAGCGTTGCCCGATTTTTCGACAATATAATAGATGCGTGGTAGAGCCATGCTGCAGCTATATTATGGTTGTAGCACGAATGGGTCGGCTCGAACGGGGAAGGACCACGCTCTCACAGAAAACCAGCGTAAAATAGCAGCTTAACGCTGCTGTGTTTCGTATGGTGACTGTAGAGAACCGGAGACCCTTTTTACTGGCAAAGAGGCATTCCATCTTAGTCCTCACGGGTGACAACGCATCTGCATCTTGAGTCTTTATTGAGGATAGATGTAGATGTCTATGGGTCACAGTAACCACTTACCATCAGGTGGACTGTGTGCTCGTTTGTAACCCGATCCTATATAAAAAAAAAGATGCGAACTGCTTATCTGTTCACATATTTCTGCAAAACTTATAAACGTAAGAGTGTTTCTTGAGTTTCACCTCATTTTTCTATAGTTGCCACCTATCGCTACAAAAAGTAATATTACGCTTCCATCGCATCAATGGATTTATTCTTCATAGAAACTAGGAAGTAACTGGTTTCTACACACTTAGCACCATTGACAAATTGTACATTCATTTGATAAGATTAATGACAGTAGCCGACTTGAACGTCTGTCCATCTAGAAGCACCCGGTGTTTGTATAAGATTTATGTTTGAGGAGAGAATGTGAGGCTCTGTGCACATGAATAATTATTTGATACGCCTATACCCTATACTGTAAGCTTAGAATTGGTACGTGAAGATATAGTAAGCATTTTTGAAAAGCAGTACACGTTTTTAAGTTATTTTCCTGTACAGGACTAGTGTCATAAAAACATAAAAGCTGTCACATTTTTTGGTTACTATAAGCCAGTGCTTAATTACAATCCCACCTGATGGTGTTGATAGATCCCTAGTTGATAAATCGTACTATCTTAGAGTAACAAAAGCCTATTCACTTTTGCCTTGAAGTCACCCAGATTGTATTCGGACGGAAAAACAAGCGCCGGCCAATAATTTCACTCCCTTGCTGTACGCATCACGAAAGACAAAGCTAACCGCTTGATTCTAATACGTGGAAAAATGACAAGGGAGTGGCAGACCCATCAATACGCTTAGAAGAAGAAAAGGATGTACGGGATACTGATGCCTGTAACTTGCTTATCATTTTTAATTAGATATTTAATTTTCTGTGTGTCTATCGGGACATAGATAAAAAAATAGAGTTACTTACTTCTTTTTAATTTCTTTTGCATTTTCTCATTAATTAAAACTCATAGAACTGTATTGCAAAAAAGTATAGAAGGGTACTAAAAACAGTTAGGCAAGTTGCAGTTACAGTTTAGGCAATCTCAGTTCACGTAAATATTATTTATCATCTAGTCCATCTTTAGTATCAATGTGTCTGTGCCCTAACTCTTATGTTAACGTAGCGCATGGCGAGACTAAGTCGACGAGTTTTATTCCCTACATTAATTAGTGCGCCGTAACACCGCCATTAGCAGCGCCGATTGATCGCTATATTAACTGGGGAACCTTTGATGTTTATCGCTCGAGGATGTTAGTTTTTCCGCATACTGTCTTTTTATTATTGGCCGAAGTTTGGGCGCAACGGTTTGTTTATACAGACGGTCTCTGTGAACGTTGTTGCAACGAAAATAGATTTGTGGTGTCAAAACATTATGATTCCTGTCTGATTCGTCAATCATTTGACGTGTTTAATTAACATTTTTGTTGCTATACGCAATTTATAAAATTTTATTTATTTAATTGGCTGTTTTTAGTCTGTATTTAAACCCATTCTAACGAGTTTAAAAAATAATGTTTTAAAACTATGAATTATTTTTGTAAGGTCTTATAGAATATTGCGGGACGGCCACATTTATTTCGTCGGTTTTTTGCCTACTTCAGTTTTTCGTCATTCATCATTCACAAGTCCACTGCTGAACATAGGCCTCCCCCAAGGAATGCCACAAAGCACGGCCTTGAGCCACCTGCATCTATCGAATTCCTCCATGTTTTACCAGGTCATCACTCCATCTAGTGGGGGGTCGCTCTAAACTTCGCCTTCCGGTACGAGGCTGCCACTCGAGAACTTTTTTCCCCATTCCCATTTCGTCATTGCATTATTATATTTAAAAAAATTTAAACATATTAATAGCGCATTTCAGTTATTCTTAATTCACATTATAAGCACACACTCTAAGCACCAATAACCATTTATATGCCCAATGTCAAAACACATTATTTTGAGTTTCCAGTCTCGTAAAGGCGGGAAACAATCGGGACTATTTTCGGAGTGAGCTATCCTCCATCTTAACAATAACTCTCCGAGTTGTTCGGAGATGAAACGGAGTACACAATTAATGTCTTCGTGATTGACTGATTCTCACTCGTTTTGTACGATCGCACACATGTTGTCTCCCGATGAAATATTTTTGTATTACGATATACCGGTTTACAACAGCGAAAATATGTTCGCATGCAATTAATGTAATTTATTATGTGTATCAAGGTTCTCTGTTTCAGATAGGGGTGTATAGAGATTATCACTAAAGTTTATTTTTATTACACGCGTCATGTTTGTATTTATAGAGGTACCGGTAAAGTTGGAAAACGCGGAATATTGGTATAGTGGTAATGGTGGCAAAAATAAAATAAAAAGTTTTTTCTACTTCTTTAGCTTTTTTATCGAAGACGGGACAAACGAGCATGCATGCATGCTTGTACACAGTTAATGAGTCTCTTCTTCATTACGAATGATTTGCCAAAGTGATTAGCAGAATACCTTCGTTATTATGAGAGAGGTTCTTGTTTAGCGGTTGGGCGTAAAGACTTTAATTTTTTTCTTTATCAATCCGCAATCCCATTGTAAGAACTTTGCTTCTCTTCCCAAGTGTTGGGTAATTTATTTGTGCTATACACGAGATATCATATTTCAGACTCGTACCGAAGCGAAGTGTACGGCGTCCCCCCACTAGATGGAGTTACGACCTGGTAAGGCATTCAAGAATTCGATGGATGCAGGTGGTTCAGGACCGCACTTTATGGCATTCCTTGGGGGGAGGCCTATGTACAGCAGTGGACTTGTGAAGGGCTGTAATGATGACGATGATGGTGATACACGAGATAATTACTGCGCCATCTATCGGAATCTATGGAATCTTCTGGCATTTCCCATAATTTTTTCAACAATCCTTAGTAGTTAGACAAAAAATTATTTAATTTCGCTAGAATTTACTAAGCGATTCAGTGAGGAATAACAGTAATAAATTATTATGCTGCATTGAAACCACTAATTTTAATTATTTATTTTTTATGATTGTCAATTTGAAAAAAAAATATTAACTTTTAGACTGTGAATTAAACATTTTAATAATTTTTAAAATGAAATAGAAAAAGTTTACTGCATAGTATCTTAACCCCTGTTTTGTTTTAATTGCCTCTTAAAACAAAACCAGCCGCATTTTTTTTGATATTTACCAAAGATTTACGATAAAATTTTACTACACTTTTTGATGTAATGAAATGAAAGTAATAAAGAAGGACTTCAAATAACTCTGGAAGGATTTTTAGGTATCTAGACTCACAGACATATTCATTCTTCAAATTTAAGTATTTTTTTTAAATAACACGTGTGACAAATGAGCACACATTCTATCGGATAGTAAGTGGGTCCTGAGGACCATAATCAGCTGCCTCTACCTTCGACCTTCGAGAACCAAAATTTAGATGCATTGTCACCGGGTCTCCGGTCGCTGCACTCGAATCGACACATACGAAACAGCTGCATTAAGCTACTATTGTACGCTGGTATTCTATGAGAATATGTTTTTTCTCCGGACCCAACTGTAATTTAGCTGCAGCGTGACTCTACCACGACTAACAATTCTGAATCTTTTCAAATTAAAGCAGTTACTATAAGCAATTTCACTATAGTTTGATGATTCGTCGTTCTAGGAGCGAAATATTCAATTTTATGACTAAATTAAAAATAAAACGGATTTGAATGCGGTTAACAGTTGGCGCCACAAAATTGGCCTCGGAGCTGCGGACTGGCGATGCGCCAGAAACAGCGCGCGCGCATATTATAGATATAAATACGTAGGATATATTAAAAAAAAAAACTCTATGACAATTGTCTGCAATATTTTTGTGATCTAATATAATGCGTTTGGTCATGATATAATACATGAAGAGTAAATTATGTGAAACGATTTACCTATTTTCAGATTAGAACGAGGCTTTGTGATATAGAAAAGTATAATTTATTTGTAAATTTCTTTTACAAAATTTGATTAAAATTAATTATAATATAATTATAATTATTAATATAAATAAATTAATAATTATAATTATAATAATAAGTATGGGAAGAAAAATATAGGTTCGATACTTACTTTGTTTTGTTCTTGGTTCTCTTGGACCATCGACGGTAACTTTGATTGCCTTGCAGTAAGTAGCGACTTGGCTTGGGAATGTGCTGATTGTGATAGTCAATGAGAATGACTTTCCACGTCCGCTGCGACCGACAAATCTCAAGTCATTGAACTTTGCGACTTGATTCTTCATCACAGCCGTGCAGTTTCTTAACTCAGCCATGACGTTTTCATCGTTTCCAGCTTTGATAGTCACTAGAGTCCCATCTTGAACGTCGTCTAAAGCAACCACTTTGAAGGCCACTGGTAGAGATTTATTCGAGCGCCAATGTCCGGGTAGAGCAGAACACAACACTGCCGGGGATCCAGTCTGCACTAGCTCCCCGTGACTCTGCCGGTAGTACTCGTGGATATGCGAGTATACATCAGCCATGCTAAGGGCCGGTGGGCTTGCGTGCGGAAGGTGCATCGACTCCAGAACTACCCTCAAACTTGAAACACGCCACAGAAGTACGACACGCAACACGTATACAAACGGCCAAAAAGTTTTAAACACGCGATCGAATTTCAAACTCGCGGAGAAGCGCGCGTAGCGCCGCGGAAAGTTGTGCGAAGTATGAACGCGAGACGACGTGCCAACGACGACAGAGCGAGCGTTAGACACGCCACTTGTTGGGTACGGGCAAGACGCCGGGCGGGGGATTCGGGAAAAATAAATGGGCCCGTCGAGACCGCAAGCCGAAGACTCACGACGCGTACCGAAGTAGCGGCGAAGGGACGCGTGCTCGCGGGGACCCGGTTTCGACTGATGACTGCGATACGACACGACTTTTTCCGATGGTCAATATTTAGCGTTCGCGCGGTCGCCGCCCCCACCCGGGTGGCGGCCCCTACGTCTCGTAAAAAGCGGGAAGGAGACGAAGGGTGTGGGCAGCGTGACGCCGCGGTGGGAACGAGCGGGACGGTCGCGGTTGGTCTCTGCGTTTTTATAAAAATGCCCGTTGAAGCGGGACACCGTCGCGGATTTTCGCCTTGTGGAAAAGGGACGGGTGGATTTTTTTGAATCACCGCGGTGACGTATTGCGAGGCGGCGGTAATTAGGCCATGGGCGGTGGGAAACCACGGCCGGTGCGAAAACCTATCACCGAGCACATGAAAAATTATAATTTTCGCGTTCAAGTTGGTGGAGGTTCGCGGCTAACAGGGTGGTAGATACTTCATATCGTTGTGGTATGTGAGGAATGTGAAACATCGAGTGCTACAAATGACATGTATTAATGGTTGAAGTTTCGACTACTTAAAAATTTTTGCAAAATAGTTTTGAAGTTTTTTTTTATCGTATTAGTTTTTTGCACAGGTACCGTGTTAACATAATATATAATGTCGATGTTTCATGTTGTGTGCATAAATATATGTTACTACAAATATTATCGTATAAGGATAAAGCCTTTACTAGTTCCATAAATAAGTTATGAGATTTCTCTTTTACATTAAAATTAACAAAAATACTAATCATAACTATCGGTAAGCTCCAATAAAGCATCGGTAAAGAATTCGCGAGCCGTCCGATTGTGGTTAGCCACCGCTTCGCGGTACAAGTGAGTGAACCGACGTGCGAGCGGGATAGAGATGTGGGAGGCGGGTCGACAGGCGGGCCGGAAAACTTGTCTAGAACTTCTCTAGACTTTCCCGCGCTTTGAGATGTTCATAAGTTTTATTTTTACACTGGAGCCCTGCTAACTTTTGCAGTGTCATTTTCGTGTTTAAAGTTTAGCATAAAATATTCATTAATGTATTTTACACTTTTATTCAATTGGTATTTTTTACACTCTCCTCAATTAGAATACGTTCTAAGAATTGTAAAATAATTTTTTTTAAGATTTTCATAAAAATTGTATGACAATACCTAAAGTGTAATGCAAATATGGAAAATCAACCAAGTTTTAAAACGTTGTGTTTTAAGTAAAAGTATGATTTTTATATGATGCAAGGGTATTTATCTATTAATGGTAGAGTAACCTACTTAATTCTTAAATTATTGAAAAAATTCAAAACATATAACAATTACTTTATGTTAAGTAATATGTAATATTAACAAAACATAATACCTATGTTTATGTTCAAGCTTTGTCGACCATGTAGTGGAGGTGTAATAATATCCATTACCTCATATCCTCCCGTAGATGTCGTAAGAGGTGATACAAGGAAATTGAAACAAGTAATGGGCAGCAGGGTCTTCCTGACAACAACTTACAATATTAAAAAAACTGCAGTTGACAACCCTCTCGCCAAATGAGTCAACTACCTATGGCAAAACCCCCCCTATGAGGTAATCTATGGGGGAGAGCTATGTTCAGCAGTGGGCTTTTATATGCTGTAATTGATGGATAATCATTAGATTCTGATAGTCCAGCAGCACTGCTTTAGGTCTAAAACTTGAAGAGCGCTTTATCCTAGGACAAGTTTATTTAAACTTAAATGGATAAGGCCCACACACTCTGTAAAACATGTACTTTTACCAATAAATAAATTATTATTATTAAATTATTATTATTATTAAATTTATTAATATTTTATTTATAATTTATATAATAGCTCTACGTTACCCATTACGTCAATATGGGGTTTTCAGTATCCATTAAAAGTCCTAGATTGAAATCAGTCGAGCCGGCCCAAAATCAGTAATGGTTTTTCTGCCAAGAAATTCTCAGTAGAAACCTGGAATCAGGAAGTTGGCGGTGTTTCACCACCGTGCCTCGGAAGGCACGTACAGCCGTAGGTCGTCGTACCGTAGGTTCCATCGGGCTATTAGAGTGAGGGAATGTAGAGTACACGTGTGCTTGCGCATACACTTGGGGAACATTATTATTATATTTCGCTGTTTTTGTTCGTTTAGGCGTTCAAATATTGACGTAGGTGAATTTAACTACTATAAATAAATAAAACTAGCTGACCCGGCGAACTTCGTACTACTGCCTAACAGGCGATTCTTTATTTTTTTTAATACTTATTCTGCTATTCGGGACACCTGGTCAGCTAGTAAGATAAAAAAAAGAAAAACGAAAGTTGATAAGTCAACAATTACATTATGTCAAAAAATAAAATTATAAAGCACTTAAAATTCTTTTAATAGTCACTAAAAAATCACAATGAAAAAAAATTCTGATTTCTTATAATAATACCTACTTATTATATTTCATTTTATTCTTATTCTAATTGACAAATATTGACATTAGTATTTATACGAAACTAACGTCACTTAATTGTTTTGCCTTCCCGGAACCCCTCCACTAACATTTAAACTTTATGATATGGTATTAAAGTTAAAATTGACTTGTAAGTATTATTACGAATCTTTTGTATGGGAATATAGAAAAGTGTTGATTTTAGACTTTTTCAGGCAATTTTTCAAATTTCTCTCTCCGTAAGAACCATCTTTGTACTTCAAGAAATAATTTAAAAAAAGAATTAGTGAAATCGGTTCAGCTGCTCTCGAGATTTGGGCTTAGCAACACATTCAGCGACTCATTTTTATATTATAGATTAACTGTGGTGGCCACTGACTAAGCACTAAATTTCACCATACGCAAGCCACCCGAGTTCAATCCCCGCCGGCTCCATTAAAATTGTTAATTATTGAAATTATAAGTACTGATTTACTTACCAAGGTGAAGATAAACATCGTAAGGAAACCTGGTAAATTTATTCTTTTAATTCTTTATATGTTACTAAAAATTTCACTCACTTTAAGTAAGGTTAGTCAGTTAGTAGTTGTAGATGGTGGAGGAAAACATAATATTATTAGAAGTTATGGAAAATATAGTCCACTTGTTAGCTGGAAGGTCATATAGATAAGTTTAAGTTTGGAAAAACGATGTTTTGTTAAAACGAGTTCAGGTTCACTATTCAGAAGACAGCTAGAGAATAATATGTAGCTTTGTCATTTAGTGGCGTAATTTTGTCTGGTAGGAGGCAAAAGCTTGCTTTAACATTTTATATACATAAAAATTAGTGTTTCTTTGTTTATCCCATATAAATTCCTATAAATATTAATCCAATTAAGAAGAAATGTTGAAATATTTCTGACAAAAATGCATTGCATCGCATGTCGGACGAGTCTAAGAACTACAATATAAATTCAATATATTTCTGGAAACATAGTCAAAGGGCATGTTATCAGTTTAAAGAACTGAAACAATAAAATTACAAAACCGCGGATAATAAGGTCAAAGGCCTAATAAAACAATCTGCCATAACAAAAACAAGTAGCGGACCGAACCAGCAAATCCTTGCTTTATTACTCATTGTTTCCAAGTCGGTCGCTTTTAACTTATTCATTGGGACACCATTATACTTGCCTACATAACCTTGAGCGTGCTTTGTCGGTAATGGGTTTAAGGCTTTACAGATAAAGCCGACAACTAACAATGCGTTTTTATAACACCAATATTTGCGAATTTTTGCTCGGCCGCATCGTAAAATAGATTTCTTGGTTGCTGTAGATAAGATTGGGTTGAATTCGTTTTTAAGGTTATAATAAAGTCAAAAAGGGCTGTTAACTGATCGGTCTTCCTGTTAACACTAACTTGCCGTTATTTGGCCAATAAAGTTTATTGGTGAAATATAAAATACAAAAATCAAACTTTATACCATTGCTTTAAAATAAAAATAAAAAGTTCTGTATACCTACCTACCTACATCTGTAAACTTTACTAAAACTATGACATATTTCCATTATTCTCTTCTTCGGATTTCTCTATTAATTATGTTACGTTAGCACAGTAGGTAATTAACCTATTTTGGGGGAGGCACGGCATACAGACGCTTGTCTGTCTGCCGTGCCGAGCCGTGGTAGCTCAGGGACTAAACGCTCGCTGTAAATTTCACAGTACGCGAGCAACCCGGGTTCGATAACCGCTGGCACCAACTACATTCTTAATTGCAATTTTAAGCGCTGATTTACCACGTGCTCGGTGGTGAAAGAAAACATCGTGAGGAAATCTGCATGTCTGAAAAAGAAGAACAAAAAATATTTCGAAGACATGTGAAGTTCGCCAAGACTGGGATTGATTGGGGATAGATAGGATAGATTGGGGCAGCGCGGTGGACATTTCCTTGCCCTAAAACCCTCTCAGAAATGAGAGGAGACCTGTCCCCAGCAATGGGACGTATATAGACTGTAACTGTCTGTCTGTAATATTGAAACAACATTTTTTTTGTAACATAAAAAACTGATAAAAGAAAAGTTATTTGATAATTATCTCATAAACAGTCAGAAATGCTAAAAAGTTTCAAATAAAACTTATTTGTTTCGAAATTTTACACAAAAAAGGTCTTTATACTTTTCACGCTTTACTTTTATCTGAAAAAAAAATTGAATTTAATTTAGTGGAAAATCTATTTTTTCTACTTCAACCCTATTTCACCACGAAACTATACCTTCGACTATTTTAAACATTTTCCCATATC